CTTCTGACTTCAATTCGCGGTTCCAACATCATCAATGTTTTTTTTTCTTTCGAAATCCAAGTGCTTGTTTCTGTCGCTGGATTCGAACGCAGTAAATTGATTCAATCAGGTTTGTTGAATAAAAATGTGCTGCTTGCTTATCGATTACTATTTGTTTGTTAGTTTAAATTGATCAAGACAAGCTGAAGAAGAAATGTGAAAAGTGAGATAATTCTCCGAAGAGAATTTCTCTCATTCGATAAAGACACCAAGATCTTAGTGTGGTTATGCGCCGGCCGAAAACCAGCGGGTATAACAGCGCTTTGTTATTTTTACTTTCTTGTATTCACTTTCAGCTCAGATCATATTCATTGAAAAGAAAAAAACATGCAATTTTACAATCTGGGTTCATGCTTCTTCTTTGTTGTTTTGTTATTTTACATGACGATTTAAAAGACATTCTTGATCATTAGATTCCGTTTTATTCTTTGTTAATTTTTTTTTTGTTTTGGTTTGTTACGATTTGTGTTCTGTTTTGGTTTTTTTTTATTGGATTGATTAGCGGTTACTATGGTCTATGGCGGATCATATTAAATTGATGTATCTGTTTTACTCTCTCTCTCTCTCTCTCTCTCTCTCTCTCGCGGAGGATTGTTCTTCTGTTTTACGGTGTCTGTGATGGTGGTGGTTGTGTTGTGATGGTAGTGATATTATTATTGTTTGTTAAATCGTCGTCGCTGGTTATTTTCATTAATTATTTCATTGTCACTGTTTCGTAGCAGCGCATGACTGCACATTGATTCTTTATTCGACAGCAATAATTCGAATAATTAACAGTTTATGGGTTTTGTTTTCGTTCTCTCATTCTATGGAGGCAGTTTTTTTTCGGCGGTTACCATCACTGTTGGTTTTTTTTCTTTGAAGAATGTGGCGGTTCAAAAAATCACTTTGTTGACTTAATTAGCCTTTTTTCACAAAAATCGAGTATTTTCCTATTTTCACATCGACGCCCGACGATGTTGCAGTTCAATTTGCATTCAAATGAAATTGAAATGATGCGGCTTCAAGCGAATGAGAAAAGAATCAACTGTTTTTATTGATTGACTTCATTTCGGCTATGGATTCTCTTTTGTTTATTTGAACAACATTTTGGTTTTTTTCCGATTACTGCTGCTATTGATTGTAATGTCTCTTGTTATTTCTTCGTGGGATAGTATTTGTTTTTCATTGCTAAATCAGCCAGGTATTTCTGTTTGGTACGTTTTTTCATAGTTGATCTTCCAAAGTCAATGGAGTTTCGTAGATCAAGGACATTCATGCCATAATACAGAAGGCATTTTGGTTGCTTCCATGTGGAAATGGAATTGAGAAAAATGACGTCTATATGATGGCACACACTAGGCTCAATGTGCTAGGTACAATGCACCTGGTACAGTGCACTAGGCACTAGATACACTAGGCATTCAACCATAACCAAACCACGCCAATCACATCACCCATTTAACATTCGTAAGAAAGTGACAAGTTGAAGATGAAGTGTAAACGCCATCAAAATTCAGCTAGAAAAACTTTCAAACGAGCATCAAATGGGGTAACGTTTTTGCATAGTTTGAGTAAATGTATCCAATTTGACGTGTATTATTGACTTTCCTCTGCTATTTGATTGATCGAATATTTTCGACCCATACTTTCAATTTGGGTGTCTCATTCGGAGTCTCCCGTTTACACTCTAATTTGATTTCCCTTCATTTTCATCTGCTTTGTTTACATTGATCATATTCATAGATACACAAAAGTAAGAATTATTAACTTATTCACTAGAATTATGTGGTATATTCCAATTTGTGTGTGTAAACTGCATCGCTTAAAATCATTTCCCGTTCATATTTTAAGCAAAAGTGTTTTGTTTTCTCTTAAATCGACACAAAAAGGATTGACTTTAAGCAAGGAATTGCTTAATTCAAGATTTAGTACATTTGCCCGTACAATTTGTTTGTTTTCGGTTTTTAATCTATCTCTTGAATACTCTAAAGTAATTATTCGAATTAGTCAAATTCTTTCTTTTCATTTTCATTTTCATTCCAAAGTGAAATGAGCCGCAAAACTTTAGCCCATTTCGGCATTGGGATGAGTCGTTGTTTCATGCCATCTAAGTTCAAATAAAATAAGTGTCAGCATTGCTGTTGGTTATTTCCCTTGCCATACGTTGTGAACAAACTGAAAACCGGTTCTATTGAGTTAACATAATAAAAATCGATCATTTTTCGTCTTTTCTTTTTCGCATTTGAATCGTTTCTGAATCAAAAAATTTCGTTGCATTGACTAGAGAAATGGTTGAGGATACCCAAAAAGAGTGGTTGTTGCAAAGGATCATCTCGCCGCATTTCCAGACGTACTTTTTGGTTAATCGAGACGTTGAAGTGCAATTGGCCCAAAAAGAATATGGAAAAATTCACAATTTTTTTTTATACATTGGTTGGAACAATAACCGTGTTCCGTTCCGGACAGCCGCAAGTGGCTGTAGCTGCTGAATTTGGAAAGTACCTCCTTCAAACACGGATCAAATGCATCCTCGCACATTAAACAGACATATAATTTCAATTTCTAATCTCCAAAATTATCCTAAAAGTTTTCCATTTTTTTTCTTCTCTTCTTTTGTTCAAACTTTAACAATTTTTTTTCCGCTTAAATTTTTCGCCTTCTTCGTTTCAACACCTAAAATTTATTCTAAAAAGTGCTTTATCCTCGTTTCTCTCCCCAGTCAATCCATGGAACCGATCAATTGTCGGTTTACAAATACCAAATATCGCCTAAACATTTATATATAATTTTTTTTTGATTTGATTAGGATGCTGTAATTTACCAAGAACTATTTTGTTTGCAGTCCATTGCGTTCGAATCGCAATTTTTCCACGCAAACAAAAAGTCCAGATAGCTTTTCTTTTATCTCATAGTAAACGATAACACCAAACTAAAATTCTTTCCCACCCGAACATAAAATTAAATCTAAATAACTTGTTAAATTTTGGGAATTTCTTTGACTAGGTTTTTTTTCTTTTATTTATTACAAGCCCATTTTTTTCCACTGCTTGAAATTTTGTACATCCGAAAAAAAATGCGCAACAAAAACGTATGAAGAGAAAAAAAAAATTATAATTTCAACAACCACATAGAAGAAAAAAAAATTCGCGATCAAAACATTTTAAAATACAATTTTTCAAATAACGAAATTTTGAGAATCAAATTTTCACATAACGCTTTCTATTTTTTTGCCCGAAAGTTAGATTTTTTTCTCTCTTCTTCTTCTTTTTCTCTTCCTTGCATGGAAAGTAAAAAATAAAAACAAAAATATTCGCAGTGTTATGAAGGTGATGATTAGTGTAATGCCGTTGAGATTCACCGTTGCGACGTTCATTTCTAAATTCCCTTGTGCTTCTGCTTTCAAATTGCATTCAACTTTTTTTTCTTTCGTTCAATGTAATCTACCAGTCACTGGTTAATCTACCAGTCAAATCCTGCGGAATTTGTTTTTTTCCATAGCATTACTCTAGCTGAATCTATTCATTCGAACGGATAGTATACATTCAGGCGACGAATAGAATAGTCCAATCAGAAGTGGTGAGTTTTATTCCGCAAATAAATAGATTCACTCAAAAAGGCGACAAACCCAAAATAAAGGCTTAAAACCAAATGGATTTTACTCAATTTTTTCGTCGCAAATTCGTTAGAACTTTCGTTCTTATTGGATTTTGAAGCCATGCCAAAGTCTTTATAGGATTTGAAGAATTTGAAGGGTTTTCATCCGTATCAACATGTAAAGCGTTTACTTCTGTCATACTTATTTTCATTTGAAATGGCGAATGAATGAATAAAATTCACTTATTTTATCGTGTTTTTTTCACTTTCCTCCACATCAGAGTTATTTTCGCTTTTCTTTTGGGAATTTTCATTGTTTCAAGAAAGGTTCGTTGAAGAGAAGTTGTACCTTTCTCAATTTTCTTAATACGCGTAGTGGTTGCCATCAACAGCCTCACACTTTCCATCATCTTCATATGATTAAACTTGGAATAAATCGTCAATTAAGAAAATCAATTCAAGCCAAATGTCTAAATATATGTGTAGTTCGTAGACAATGGTCTGCCGATCATTTCTTTCTCTTTCTCTCCCTCCCTCTCGCTCTGGTTTCTAACCAGAGAGATTTTCCTTCTTTTATTTTTCACCACAGTTGTGGCATCATTTGGTGTCGGTCATAAATTTACACTCGTAATTTTAAAATTACACAAATTCCGACACAAAAAATAGTCTTAAGTTCTAAGGGCAAATTTTCTTAGTCTTGATATAAATGATTACATGTATCGAATCAATTTCACATTGGGAGTCCGTGTTTTGGGGCTCAATTGATTCAAACAGTTGTCGATATAGTGGCTAAACTTTATTGCCCAGTTGTGAATCTCAATTTCGAGATTTGAGGAAAAAAATTGCCAAAACCAAAAAAAGGGGGGTCGATCTCTTAGTTTTTGCAAAGAAATCGATAAAAAAAATTGCCAATTGCGAAATAAAAGTCCGTCCAAAAGAGTTGATTCAAGTTGGTAAATCGCTGATCTGAAACACGATAATAAAATTCCAATTCCATAAAAAAAAACAACCAATTTTATTCAAATCCAAAAATTACCAACTCCAGAAAACGGAAGATTCCAAGAACGAAAATATATTCACCTTTTTCTTTTTAAATTTGCAAATCAATTTTTTTTTATAGCCAAACAACGATGATTTTTGTTTTGTTTTGGGTTTTTCGAAAAAGTAGTAACGGTGAACAGATTTCATGTTTCAGAATCAAAAAATATTTCGAAACAAAAGAAATAAGGAAAAAAGTCGGGCGCAAATTGTGTGCAACATGTTGATGTTGTTGATTTATTATCAAGTGTCGAATTATTTGCAAAAAAAAAAACAAGAAATGGACGTGTTCACAACAAAAGTTGTGTTTGCAAATGTATGTCATTCGTCGCTAAATAATAAATGTGTTGATTTTGTTAATTTTTATTTATTTTGCAATATACACCATCTTAATGATAATACCTATATGCTTTCTAAGTCAAACGGTTTTTGCCTAATTTGTTGTTGTTCTTTGCTTTTTGGTTTTTTGGCATTATCGTTCAATATGCATTTAAAATTGTTGAATTTTTGTTGTTGTTGTTATGTGTGTGTTTACTGTGAACGTGTCATGTGTTCACACTCTTAATCATTTTGCTTTTTAAATCTTCTTTTTTGAATTATTTTCGATTAATTTGTAATTGTGATTTTTTTCTATGCTGTAATGCATACAATTTCCAATTAAAACGTAACGTTAAAACATCTCTCACTGCATATAAAGCCTCGAAAACGAAAATGAGGACCATATTAATGTGTGTGTATTTGTGTGTGTTTATTCTTCTTTTTCTTTCATTTTTGGAATGTGACATTTTAATCAAATGTAGCTTTAAATATCTTTTACGCCATGGAAATTTATCTACTTAATGGTTAGGGTTTTGTGTTTTTTTTTCTTTTAAATTTAAATAATTCAAAGAAAAGAAAAGAAAAATTCAAAGAAATTGTAAAAAAAGGAGGAAAAATTTCCGAAAAATTGTTGATATTAATAATAAGAAAGAAAATAGAAGAAAAACTAGACAGAAAGAACAAAAGAAATTCTTTCAATATTATCTATGTACAAATCAGTCGAGATAAAAAATATGCCTCATACATGTGTCTATTGTTATCAATTTTCATATGTGTGTAATCAATTGTTCTTCTGTTTGCCAAAACATTTTTATTTGCATTTAATCAAATGAAAAATTAATTTAAAAAATAAATTAAATTGATTGGGGTTCTTCCTTATAAGCTATCGATCGAAAATGCATTCATGTCACGCTTTAAATTCTTATTAGTTTTTAATACTTTTTTCTCTCCAAATTTCCGAATGAATCAACATATTGATTTTTTTTTTCTTTTTTTAGTTTTTGAAATGAAAAAAAAATGGTGAAATTTTTCTTGAATTTTGATACGAAAAATAAGAGGAACGATAATTCAACAATACCGAAAATATCACGTTGAACATTTGGACAGCAAAAATGATGGCAAAATGAACTGTATCGCCGAAGAATCATTCATTGTGGCACCAAAACAATGGCCGAAGATCATTCTTCGTTCACAAGCAATGATCGTTCTTCGTGCACAGTTCATTTTGTCATCATTTTTCGTAATCAACGTACAATATTTTGCCGATTGATCAAAAGAGAGAATCAAAACCAATGCCATCCAATTGAATATCAACCACAAATTAGCCTAAATACTTTGTATCTATATATGATTACAATTAAAAATCTTATGTGCTTCTGTATTCATTCTCAATTGCATTTTAATCGTTCGGCGCAGTGTTGGAGGAAAAATTCATTTAAAATCAAAGCCTTAAACACATACACATGTCATTCAATCATATATTTTTTTTTGTAGTCCATTGTTTTTATTTTCTTGTTAGCCCTTAAATAATTCTTTTGTTGAATTGATTTTTAATTTTTTTGTCTGACCGTCAGACTCTGAGCGGCGTAAGCATATGCGCATAATGTGTGTATCCATTTGGAGACGAACATTTTGCTGCTTTTCACGCCATTCATTTTTTTTGCATTTCTCTGTCAAAGTACTTCTTTGTTATCAATAATTTCAATTCATTTACTTGCATTAAGTTAAATACTTGTTTTAAATTTCAATAGAATATTATGTTTTTTTTTTCTTTCAATAATTGTAAGTTACTAAATTACATTTGGTTGGGTGTGTTTTTTTTTTCTTCGCAGAATTGTGTTCGATTTCGAAGACGGATTGCAATTGAAGCATCAAAGGTATTTTCAAATGCAGTCGACAATGCTTCCACATTGCGACACTCGAAATCGTGCACAAATAACTGTTAGCAAAAAAAAAGAGTCTAGTTTGTTCAAAAGAAAACAATTTGAACGTTTCTTGTTGTCTCTTGGTTTGATGTTACTGATGGGCAATACAGTTTACACATTTGTTTTATTTTTATTTACTATTGCTGTTGTTTGGTTGTGATAAATGAACCGAAAATGGCCGTTGTTCAAGTGTTCATGCGTTTGACTTGAAATGCCCGTCGAGTCACTTGGGCAAGTTTCACTCAAGAATTCCAACTCTCCTTTTCAATCGAGTCTCAATCCTGATTGAAATTTCCCCGCAGTAAATCTCATTCACTGCAGCACTCTGGCGGATATTTCAAATGAAACACATTCTCTGGAACCTTGTCAAGCCGACGAAAGAAAAAACAATCAAAGTAAGAAATGTAAAACTGAATGCACTTAATCCATATAAAATTTATACAAATGTAAAGAATGAAATAAAAGTGATAACTTGTGCAAAATCAATGATCGAAAACTAAAAAAAAACATTTAAAATGAATGAAGCAGTTGTTGCTTAGGACTCAAGGTTGGTTGGTTGCTTGGTTTTTTCTGTGTGTCTTACTCCTGCAGAGTTAGCTATGGTTGATTCGTAGTATTGAATTAAACGGTGGCTATATATTTCCCGGGTTATATTTCGATTGAATGCTGTTGCTGTTGTTGAATTCGTTCCATTTTTTCTTCGAGTGATTTATTTTCATGTGTTTTTATTCTTTTATTTATTATTTTATTGCTGTTTATTTTATGTAGTTTTTTGCGTAAGTGTGTTTGACTTCCAATTCCATTGAAAAACGAGAAATTAAAGAAAATAAATCGAGTTTAGCGCTTGTTATCATTCCGATGAAATGTGTGAATTTTGTTTGTGTGTATGTTTTGCGTGTCTTTCAATTCATTTTTTTTTTGGTTTCATTTTAATTTTTATTCATTAAAACATGCTTCATTTTGGTTGTGTTGTTCGTTTCATTTGTTTTAGAGCTTATTCTATGTAATATTATAATATAATACTTCTAATTTTATAATTTTTGTCTGTGTGTGTTGTCATAAGGTAAATTTTTTCTTCTTTCTTTCATTATGATTCCAAAGACGAGAATGAAAAAAAAAACATACACGTTCTTTTTCTTTGGTAGATTGTTTTCAAGTGTGTGTGTGAATGTGTTGTTGCGAATAGCACGTTCGCTGGTTTCGATTTTCAATCTAGAGAAAAGTAAAATATCGGTTTATTTTTGTATTTAAGTCCAGTGATTGGTTTTTTCGCATTTTCGCAAACTCGGATCGATTTTCATAAAATTTTTATGGTTTTTTTTTTTTGCATTTTCTTTCCTAATCATATATTTAGAGAGCAAACATGGAAGAAATGCTTGACACATCTAACTCTTTTTAATTTGTTTGATTACATTTTGTATATTTCCAAAATGATTTAAAAAAAAAATGAAATGAAATCGCCTAAATACACGTATATAACTTGAAATTAGTAATTTTTGGGTAGCCGCTTCAATGGACGCAAGCGAACTACACTTTTTTTTGTATGTATGTTTGTTTTTGTCTTTGTTTTTTGTTAGATAGGAACCACAAACGTTGTTTGTATTTTTTTTTTAATTGTGTTTTCTCTTAAACTTTGCTTACTCTCGTGTATGTGTATCATTCTAATTTGTTTTTTTTAAATAGTAATAATAATAATTATAATTTTTTTCGTTTGTCATCCACTTTGCTTGTTTCATTTAATTTAAGTTTAGTTTCTTTTCATCAAACTATTTTATTGGGTTTTATGTTTTAAATTTTTTTATAATTTTAAATTTGTTAGGTTTTCTCTTATACTCTGTGTGTTTGTGTTTTTTTCACGTTTTTTTTTGTTTCTCTTCAGTTTTTAAAATTATTCATTTAGTCTCTCAATTTCGTGTGCATTTTTTGTTGGTTTGTTTGTGTGTATACATTGTAAGTTAACACTCTTGCTTGTCTACCGTTGTGTGTGTGAATGAAAAAGCACTTTCTCTCAATAAATTAAAACATATTCATAATTAAAAAAAAAACTATTAAAAAAATTGTGTTAAACTTCTTTTTTTGGTCGTATTTTTGTAATAATCGTTTTGTATTCAAAAATGTGTAAAATTTCAGTTACAAGACCAATTACGGCGTTTCTTCATCGCAAAATGAGCGAGAATTGCCCAAATTTTACATTTAAGTTAAAAAAAAAATTACGAGAAAAAAACTGCTTCAAACAAAACTTAAACCAAAAAACAGAGGCAGACGCGAGAGTGAGAAAATGGATCGAAATGGTTTTTCAATTCACATCTACATCGGGTGCATAATAATCATTGTTAATTTCTTTCTCTTTGTCATAACATTATTATCATTTGTTTAGTGTCTTAGATTTGTGTTTTTTAACTTGTTGAATAGTTGATTGTTTATCTTTGTCGTCACCTTCTTGTTGTGTTTTCTCAGTGTGTGTGTTGTGTTTTGTGTTGCGTTCAACATCTTCTTTGTCATTTTTGTAGTATATATGTTGTCACATGGGCCATCCAATTATTCCAGCTGCTCCAAGAAGTTCGGAGATTTGAAATATTCTGGAACTGAATCATCCATTCGGGAAATAACCTTGTAAATGGACTTTTTCCATGATTGTTCGGTGTCTTTGCCACCTTGAATGGAACGGTAAAATTCGCGTAACGTTTGCTCAACTACTTCGCGGAATCGAAGAGGTACCTGTGTTTTTTTTTGGTTTTTTTTTTTGGTTTTATTTGGGAGGAAATTGGTCGAATTTAGTTTATTTGCTGTTGTTTTTTTTCAATGAAATATGTATAAATATGATTTCGATTCACGACTCATTTCGATTGTAAAGAATTACAACGAAAAAGTGAGACAGCGACCAAAGTCCAGTCACACATGACAACACTTACCTCGATGTGATTGTTTCGATTGTAGTGTAAATTGAGCACCCTATAAATTTCACTATCGCCACTAATATGTAAATCATCTGGGCTCTTGATACCCTCGCTAACTGCCTGCCGAGCATATTTCTCCATTTGAATGTAGTAAAATTCACTGGAACAATGAAAAGAGAACACATTTTTATTGTTTTGCTTTTTACAATTTGAAAATATTTGAATCAATTCGATGGTTGAAGAAAAAATGATGAATTAACCTATCCTATTGGTACATCTCCTGATGATCCATCTCTTAATAATGCATCCTAATGATCTTTAATTCTTGATTGGACTGAAAACTTTCAAAAATCGCGGAAAACCTTTGCCAAAATAATCTCACGAAACTAAAACATTTCGTATCTCAAATGCAAGTCCAGGAGAAACTTCCACCGAAAAACTTTTTATTCCAGCAAATTAATCGAAAACTCGATGTTTGATTGAAAGAAATTAAGAGTGAATGTCTTAAAGTGGTGGCAACAACAAAACCACAAGTCGGATTTAGTGTTGAATTTTTGCAATTTATTTGCATTTTGTAATTAATCGCACATGCATTCGTCATACACATTCGTCGTTCATTGTCATTTTGACACATGAGTTTGCATGTTTCATTTGTGACAAATTACCACAGGGAATGTTCGAAATCATTTCAGAGTGATCAGTTGAGAGCGCCAGGCAAGTGTGTGTGTATGTGTGTGTGCTGTCGTTATGATTGGTTTTGCTATTTCTCTGCATATTGCTTGAGCAATAGCTGGAGAATTGAAAAAAAGCGATAAAGCCCAACGTCACCAGCATCATAATGATGAATCGTCAACACCAATGCCACCGAGTGTGTGTCGTACGCCAACATTGAAAGTGAGCCACCGAGAGTTGAACAAGGAGCACGACGGAACAATACGGCTGAATGTGAAAGGTGAGAGTAAGTAAGCGGAAAGAAAGGAAAATTAACGCATTTTTTTTTCTCTGTAGCTTGGTTGCTGCTGCTGCTCCAGCTACTCACTCTCTCCCTCTCGCTATCGCTATCGCAAATATGAAAACTTGACTAAATAGTAAAATCATCTTAATTTGAGATATGGAATTTCATCGTTGGCTTCCGCTGAGAGTGATGTGTGTGTGTGTGACTGCTGAATAGAGTACATGTCATGAAAAGTGTTGAAAACAAAGCGAAAAGCGTTCGTGAAGTGTTTACAATTAGATATGTAGTGTTTAAGTATTTTAAAAAATACAACAGTGTTTGCGTTTTGAGACACAATCCGATAGAGAGAAAGAGAGAGAGAGAGAGAGAGAGAGAGAGACAGGCAGATGAGTGGGGGAGCAAGAGCTAGGGAATGTGTGTGTGCGTTTGGAGCTATGTTTCAATGTTTACTTTTATCTTTCCCCTTATGAGCGCCATGCCACTCGGAGATCTATTATTTGAATAATCAGTTTCCGTGCGCGTTTGGCACTCACCAAATCTCTGAACAAAAATTGTTGTTTTCATTCCTTGGCAAAAGAATGTGCGCGAAAAAAAATAGAGAGAGAGAGAGAGAGAGAGAGAGAGAGAGAGAGAGAGAACAACACAAACACACATGCAAAGCAATCAAAATAGCTGGATGTAGTTCGAATTTTCCTGCCACTATTCATCACACCGCGTCTCGCGTGTGCCATTTCTTTGGCACTTTTGCCTTTTTTGCTGTTGCTGTTGTTTTTTTTTCGCATTCCATCCATCATTGCGACTTCCAAGTCACTGATTCCACTACACACAAACACACACCACCATTGCCTTATGCTGTACGATGTGATGATGTTGACAACAATAGTTTTAATTATTGCTTGTATCGCAATTATTCTTTAACTAGGCTTCTTAGCTTCACTTAAGTTGAGTGCTCAGTTAACTGAGTGCACATAGGCACAATATGGCTTACACACGTCATATTGCCCATTCGAGAGAGCGCCAGCGCCCCACGTGCGCGCATACACACACATATATATATACGCTAAATGTTTAGACGTGCCCAAGAAACAGCACAAAGTGCGCGAATGATATGGAGATACGAAACGGTAAAAAGATAGAATAAAAAAACAGAGAGAATATTGAGAGGCACAACATATATGCGCAAAATAAAGTAAAAGCACTTTTACACGCTGCAAATAACACACAATGCACACCGTTTTATATGCACACGTGCATCTCTTTTTATGCCAGCGCACTTGATTACGTTGTCAATTTAGACCAAGCAACAGCTCCATTCTTATTGATGTACAATTATCCTTGCACTTTGTTTTTAGGAAAGGAGGATGCTAGGATGCAAGAAATGTGCACAGAGAAAAAAACAAACAAATGGCCTTTCCTTCGAATTTGAGCAAATGTTTTCAGAGCATCGCATATTGAAGTGAAAAATGACATCTTCATTGAAATGAAGAAATGAACAGAAATCTCGAAATTGTTTCTTTGCTGTCGAGAGTGGGCTTCGAAAGTATTTGTTCATTTGATTTCAGTTCAATTTTTTTCCTCTAAAAATATTCGACTAAATGCAAAGTTTGTGGGCCGAAATCTTTCACTTTGCCCAGAGAGTGTCTCTCTGTTTTTGCCATTTGAAACTGTCAAAATGAATTCACACGAGTTCTTTGAAACGAGACTATAGAGTCAAATATTCTTTTGTACAGTCAAAACAAGCGTACAAGAATGTATTTTCTCTCTCTCTCTCTCTTTTCATTTCCATTTGGGCGCTCTCGAGCAAATGCATTACCATTAAATGAATTACTTAATTAGATCTATTCTCCCCGTATGCCAATTATAATTTTCTCTTGTTGCTCACATTTGCTCACTTATCAAATGCTCGTTTGCTGTGTTGTCGGTGTGTTGGCTGGGCATTCGTGAGTATTTGAGCGGCAAAAATGCTTAGATTGGCATGAAAAAGAACCAATTTGTTGTTATTTTCGCAAAAACACACTGGGTTTGTGATTTGTTTGTTGTTTGTTGTGGGAAAAATCAAATGGCTGCGGTTTTTATACGGAATTTTCTTGTCTTCAGCATCAACGAAACAGTAGCGCTAACACTCATTAGCCTAAGAGTTGTGTGATAACTGAATTAACCATGGAAAAAAAGGTGAATTGTTCAAGTCTGCGCTTCAAAAACTCCAGCTTATCAATTTATCTTGTCGCATGGAATGCCATTTCTTTCATTCGACCCATTCGAAATTATTCATCCAGAATTGAGATCATCATTCAACTCGTTCATTTCGGTGTACAAAATCGTACAACCCTTTTTTTTCTCTCTCGCTCTCTCGCTCTCTCGCTCTCCACATTTGAAAACAGAAATTATGTTCAATTTCAATTGGTTTGTCGCATGTGTGAATGTGTGATTTGCATCCTTGGAGTGGCGAATATGAAAACGCGAGTGGCGAAGAATCTAAATAAAGGCATTCAATTCAAGCGCATGCATCAGAAAATGCCGAAAAAAGAAAGTGCTGTTGAATTATGGATTGGCGCTCACTTCATGACAATGCCACACATACACAACTCTTGGGATTTGCATGTCTTTTGTTTTGCCATCAACAAGAAGTGCCAATTAAAAACAATCTTCTATGCAATTTTCAGCACTAATTATAAAACGAATCAAAACCAGATTTAAAAAAAACACACATGTTAATATCTGCAACGATGATACTCGGCTAAATATACCGAGTCGCAATCATTTTCCTTTTGGTGGTGATCTCGAAAAAGAGAAAAAAAAAAAGAGTCAACGCCGTTGGTTCAACACAAATTAGTCATCGAACGGAATTTATCATGCTAGAAACTCGGTTTTTTGCTTCTTCCGCAGAAAGATCATATAAAATCCATCTCAATGGAATGAAATCTTGCTTTGCAATCAAAGCCCGTGAGGAAAGAAGAAAACATTGTCGAAATTTTGGCGCGTAAATTAATCGAAGAAAAAAAGTGTATTAAATTGATAGCGCGCAACTGTCATTTGATTTCTAAGCCGTTGTTTTTTTTCCCACAAAATAATGGCAACGAGAGAGTGGAGAGCGAGCGAAAAAAAACTGTTTAAAGAGCATAAGACACACGAAAGAAGTAGAAGAGAAGGAAAAAAAAACGCACATAACAATAATAAATTTTGTAACGGTTTTTTCTGGCATTCCTTTTGCTGCTATGCTTCGATAATCTTAACCCCTCGGAAAATGCCATTTACGCTATGCTGGCATATTGTACGAGCGAGTGCACGCGCGCGCGCACACATTTATTTTACGCACCAAGACTTTATGATCACACAATTGCATAGTTCACACACAAGCGTAAACTACTGTTTACCCAAACTGCTGCATGCATATACCCATACTATTCCTTATTCTTAAGTCGTTCGCTGTCTATTGTTCTGCCAGTTCCTTAGTTCCCTTCGCTTAATTTCTTTTTTCCACTGCTGCTGCTGCAACTTCTTCTTCTTGTGGCAACGGTAACGATCACAACAACGCAAACGACCTATTCTTATGTCGCTCTCTCTCTCTCTCTCTCTCTGTCTCTCTCTCTGTGTGTGTTTGTCAATAGTAGAGAATGTGTACACCTTTTATTCATCGGCTATGTAATTTACCGTTCCCTATGCGTGTGTATATACTTTTCATTCTCTTCGTCGTTTTGGCTTTTTCTGTTTCTTGCTCTCGCTTTCCCTTATGTTTCGCCCTTTAATTTTTCAGAGCAGAGTCAGGGCCAGAAGTGTACTGGTTTTTTCTTATGAATATTATGCTGCGTTCCGATGCACGATTTCACGAGGCACTTTTAAAAGGTAAAACGATAACATTTGCCGAGATATGCTAAGATAATCGGACGAGAGAACGTTTTTCCCTCTCCTATTCTCTATCCCTCTCTCGTTCGCTTGCATTGTTTCGGTTTCGGTTTTGCTTTGCGTCTTTGGCTTTCTTATGAAAATTTCTTATGCGATATATGGCCATTCTTTCATACATCTTACGCTAATGCTCAAGACAATCATCGGTCCCTTGGCAAACAAAAACTAATCGAGGTTACATTTTGTGAACGCTAGTTAATGAAACAATTGTGTACATTATGATGAAAACGCAAAGTTGAACCGAACCAAACTGAAGAAGAAGAAGAAAAAAAACACGACGACTACGATACACAATTCATTTGCACACGGAGAAGGAATACCGAACGAAATGTTCGAATGCAACGTGTTTGGTCTATTGTGTGTATGTGTGTGTGTGACAACTGTTGCCACATTTGGCTTATTGACACAAAAGAAATTTCAAAAAACGAAATCCTTTTGCACTATACTCTTTTTTTTCTTTCTTCTACTTCGTCTTCACTTGATTCTTCGTTGCTTTTACGTGTGTTGAATGTCAGTCATTTCCTTTTCTCGTCAAACATCAACCGTTTTTTTTTTATTACTTATTCTTGATCTTCAAGAGATTTTGTCGATTTTTGCCATGTATGAGTTTACATTTAATTATAGTTTTTGGTATTCATTTTGCATGTTGCCTCTGACAATATAATGATATGGTTCGTTTTAAGACGTGTGCGATCACACAAAAGATGAAAATCTTGACATATTTGCATAGCCACTCAATTTCGGCGGAAAAGTTTCGTTTCGACGAAGAAATTGAGCTTTTCCGCAAAAAACCATCGAGATTTTCATTCACCTCTCATCGCTAAGGATTTTTCTCTTCTACAACCGTATTGATTCTTCTTTTCATTTTAAAACAAAGTCAATCTCTATATACAGCATCAGCACAAAGACCAAATTTCATATATACGACGAACCAAAACGTGCTCTACTTTGTGCTGAATACTGCAAAAGAAATTGATTGATGCAAAAAAAAAAGTGAATGGCAAAGTGAGTGGTGGACAACTACAAAGATATCTAGCCCCTATATTGATGTTTGATGGCCGAAAAAAGAAGCGACAACCCTAGATGATTTTCGATGCAAACAAAAATTACTTTTAAATGAACAAAAATTTAACCAGATGGTCGTCAACAATCAAAGATTCGACCAATTCGCGCCAATAATTTCGGTTCTCACACTCGCTCATACGGTTTACGCACGGTAAGGGGGCATCTGTCAATCGGAGAGTGTCTCCGGAAGAGAGAAAAAAAAACATCAAACCGGAGTGAATATGTCTTGGCCGCAATTTTGCAAGATTTAAATGAATTTTTCCCATTGAATTGAACGAATGTTGATTGAATTAGATTGTCTCCGCATGCTGTATGCGAATTACCAAAGCAAATGACATTTGAAATTCAAATCGAATCAAAGAATGAATCATTTCTATGGACACTGGACACAATCAAGACACAATCATTTTTCAGACACATTCTAAGAGTGCGATCATGTGAAGGAAATGGTTTGTTAACGGGCCGAAAAAGGGGTTGTTTATTTGTGAAAATTGATTGTAACTGGAATATTAATTGATGTATAATTGCGTTGGAAAATTCCAATTGATTTCGAATGTGTGTGGCAGCTAAGGAGTTGAACCAAGACAAGTTTACTACAACAGTTTCGCAACTGTGGCAAAAGTGTATGTGTGATTTTGAATAGAGTCGCGCTTAGAAATGCGCCTAATGCCCATACGATATATGAATTGCATGTCGGAAGGAGTCTATTTCCTATAGTAACGCCTTTCAAGGAAACCAAACATTACCGCCGTTGATTGGCTAGACACGCAACATATGTCACCCTCACAATAAATAACAATCGCGGCTCAACGGTGCGCTGCTCGCCTCTACTTATCACATATCGTAGTTTGTAATAACATTTTCCTCTCACTCTTACTCTCTCTCTCTCTCTCTCTCTAACTATCTTGTATCGAACAACAACATCGCCGTGCACATACAAATACACTTTAGCGAGAATTTCTCGTGTGCGTGCTTTCGGGCCCAAGATATGTACAAAAAGTGTGAGTTATCTAGCGCAAGCTACAATGAAACGGTAAAAAAATGTAATAATATTTTTTCGAGTAATTGAGATCAATGATATGCGATAACGAGTAGTATTCATTCGTCAGCCACCTGTACGTTAGAATAGCTAAATGATAATATATGGAAAAAAAATACGTCGATCTTTTTTTTCGTTATTATTATTATTATTATTATTATTGTTGGACGACCATTTGCTTGCATGTTTGCGCTGCTCTTTTGGATATATATTCAAACAAGACATAGATAAGAAATAAGCACTTTGAAAATAGAATACAACGCGCGCGCGACACACAAAGACCAACAGAAAAAAAACAGCGCTCATTGCGCTCGATTGAAGTAATATTCGTGATGCATTCGTTATTTCGGATAATTTGGCGCACATATTGTAATGACTGAGCAGGCGAGCGAGCGAGTTATGCTTTCGTCAATCAAAAGATAATAAACTCTATTGGTGAGTTTTGTTTATTATAGAACAATATTACGGCCGAGAAATGAAGCCGAAGGATTGGAAAAAAAAGGCGCACATGTGGAAAAATCAAATTGAAGTGTTCGATATGAGGGCGTAATATCGTTGTGTCGTTGTTGTTGTTTCTCGATCGAATGAGAGACACGTAAGCGTTCACTTAAGCTCAATGTTATTGCATTCGTATTATTTCTTTAGTTCAATTAGTCCACATGTATGTCGCATAACGATAATCTTTTTGCAGATTTTTGTCATTGTTGTCGTCTCTTTGTTCATTTATTCGTAGTCGTTCTTGTTTTTTTTTCAAATTCACATTTGTGTATCCGTTTCATTGGAAAAGGCGTTCGGTACACAGATACATGACGCGACCGTTGTCGCTTGATTCGCTTGTGTTGTTGTTGTTGTTGTTGGTGGTGGCATTTTTTTCACGAAAATAATTAAATACGATAAAAACCATTCCATATACACACACCGACATAAGTGTATTTACGGCTTTGGCCGCATTGAAATGGGTGTAAATAATATTTTTTGAGAGAGATAATTATATGGCCAATCTAAATTATTATAATCGTTGTGTTCAATTTTTCCTCGCGACTGTCATAAAGTTGCCTTTATGTCTTTTATTTCTTTTAATAGACTACAATGATTTTTTTCTCTCTGTTCATAGTCGGCTGTGTTTTCTGTTTGTGTTTTAGAATAGCCCGAATAGAGAGAGAGAGAGGGGGGGGAAAAAAATCACCTACTAACTCATTGCATGCCCATTTCCTGTGCTTAATTTTCAATGCATGCAACGGTTTTTATTCGCGTCATTTGACCATTTTCTTCTATCATTAAAACCGAAGTTAGATTCGTTTTTCTTTTTTCTCTAATCCAATTTTGCCCTTATCTTTGTCGTCGTCGACGACGTCGGTATGTGTGTTTTTTTTTCATGCCAAAGCAATCACAGAAACACCGCATTTCGGAAGTGAAGGTGAATTTATGCCGACAACGACGACGACGACGACACATATTCAATTTCTGATTGAACTAGTCGCGTTCTCCGTTTTTTTTTTCATTGCTTTCTATTCTCTTGTCTTTTCATTATTCCACCAAAGGGTGTCACATGAAGATATCAAAATAATAATTATGATAATTGATGTGCATTCGAAAGTTTCCAATCGTTGTTTTTTTTTTCTCGGTGTTGTCGCTTGAGATTTGAGCTGGTTTATGGTGGATTAATCTGATTTTCTTCAATAATTGTTTCGGATGACATTTTTCTACTCTATTATAAACATTATAATATGATTTTCGAACGTTTCGATTTGATACTCTTATCAATATTTAATAACGGTCTGATTCCCTTGATTAATGTTTGAAAAATCGAATAAAAAAAACGCCTACCTCTCTTACATACTAGTCTAAAGGCAGAAATGTGAATTGATGTGTGTGTTGTGGTACTTACCGAAAATTTGAAAACCATTTGACCAGCTGGGCCGTATTGTTTTTGTTGAATTTGATGTCTGGGAAGTACATTTTGAGCACGGCCGAACTGGGATATCGCACCCAGAAGAACATCAGTTTCGCTTTACGCAGATGCATCGGAGTCAATGTTGACGAGTTCACGGAAGTCAAGGAAAGCATTTGTTGTTTTCTAATAAATTGTTTGATTTTTTTGGGTTTGTCATTTTTATCTCTTTTTCTATAAGGTGATTTTGTTTATTGTTTTTATTTTGGTGTTTGTTTTTTATTTGGTTTTTTTTCAGTTTTTTTTCGGTTATTTTTTTTTTTACGTTCACGCACACGCACAATTGAAATTTGTTTTGCACGAAATTTTATTTTTGATCGTGTTCGCGATTGAGTTTTAGACACACACAAATATGAGTGAGTAGCGAAACACACGCACACATAAACAGTCAGAGCGCAGTTCATGGTCAGTTAGCCAAAAATAGAATAAATAATGTTTCATTTTAACAAATTTGAATTGTGCGACAATATTGTTTTTTTTTTAAATGGCAAAACAAAAGGGATGGAACCGAAAATGGAATGGAATGGAAATGAAATGTGTGTTTTGTGTCTTAGGAAGGATTTTCTTTTTGGTTATTGGTTCGTTTGCTGCAAAAGTAGCAAAGATTTAAATTGGTATAAGCCAATTTTGATGTCGCAGCGCATTAAGACGATTAAATGTAAACTTCTCAGCTGAATCGTATGAATTTCCGTCGACAGGCAACGAAAAAGAGGTTTTTGATTTCCACGTAGAAAATCCGAATTGCATCAGTTACACATAGATATGTATGGCATACGTGTATCGAGACTTTAACGTTCATTTGGCTTCAATTTCTTGCTTTTTATATATTCTCTGTGATTTTATCCATCTGGATTTATCGAAATCGCTTGGTTGTTTTGCCCTTTTCGCTTTGCTCATTTTTGTCTCTCTTTTTCGCTTTCTCTCTCTCTCTCTATCTCTCTCTCTCTCTCTATCTCTCCCCCCACTTTTGTGTTCAAAGGCACAGCGAAAAAAAAGAACAACAACAACTTGATTTGCACATCTCTTATACGATTGCGTTTTATCGACACTTGAGTATTGGTGTGATACGTACTACTGCCGAGCAGCGACTTAATTAGTTCATAGGAAGTTGTGGTTGTAATGCATATTGCACAAGTACAACATTTACAGAAAAAAAAGCAACACCAGCAGCAGCAGCAACACGAAAAAATACCCAAAAGAATCTATACAAGTGATTCAAAAGGAATTGTAATGGAAATGGGAATATTGTACATCGGTTGGTAACTGATATTAAATGGGCTTTGATTCGAATGATATGCTCTATATGCTAACTCTTCGTCTCGCTCGCTCTCTGCCTTCTTTGATATCGATTTGGATTTTCAATTTCGAAATAATCGCTATTTGTGTATTTTGCACTCAATGCTGCAATATTATCAATTTATTAGTTCGGCTTGTGTGCTTGCTTCGACTCACTCGGTTATTTTTTGTTCTACCTTGCTCGTTAATAATTCAATTTCGAGTGAATATTGCTTCAGTGTTGTTTTGCTTTTACTTTTTACCTTTGCATATGATTAAATAGCCAATTTATGAGAGAGATAGAGAGTGGCGGGCCCGTTTTTCGATAAGGAAATGTTATATGATCGAAGGGAACCTTAGCGAATTTCTCTTTAACAAAGCACTCATTTAGCGTTCGGTATCGGTGTGTATTTTTGGAATTTGATTGAAAAAGAGATGGATAATCATGAGCATTATTGCATTGAATCTGTTGAGTAGCCGCGTGCGAGCGAGCAAGCGAACGAATGAAACGAACGAGTGCACGGATCGATACACACAAGGCAGTGTGCATTACATTCGACTTTAATAGATAACAATTAAGACAAAAACTGTCGATTTTCAGAAACAGTAGCAATTGGCAAACCGATCCGAGAACGCGAAAACAAATAGAATTAATAATAAAAAACATGATGTGTTATTTAGCATTGGCTGGCAGGTTTATATTACATCAAATTGGAGCAAATGAAAAATGCAGCTCGATTTGAATCGAGAACGAAATTGTGCATTTCTTTTCTCTAGCCAAATGAACACTGGCAGCCGCACACCACAAGTCCTTTTCGTTTGTTTGATAACATGGTCTTACAATATGTTTTCCATTATGTATCACATTTGCGCTATTTTGGCGACATTGTCTGTTTTGGATTTGCGGGTTTGTACGTATTTGGTGTATGAATGTGGGTGTGTGTGTGTGTGTGTGTGTGTGAGTTTGTGATGGGATCAAAAACAAAGAGACAAGACAAAAGAGGTGAAAGATGTTAAGAGTACAAACAAAACTGCGAATCAAAGTGCATTGCATTTTAGGCGTCAATCGAGTGGTTGTTGTTTTTTTTTGTATGTGTCGGATTGTGCCTTTGATTTTAAAGCAGATAATGTAAGTATCTAAAAAACATCTTTCGCATTCTTGTTCAGGTATTACCTGTCATTTGAAAAGGATATAGTAGGTTGAAGTCCATCAAAACTGATGTCAGCTGAATTACAATCCGAGTTCCGGTCATTATTATCCATAGCTGCTCGAATATGAGCATAATCTGAAACGAAAGAGAAAGCGAATCGTTTGTACAATGAGTAAAAACAATACGAATTTGAAAATGTTTTAATGAGATTTCAGATGAGATTGCATTACTCAGAAGGAATTTCTTGGTAAAGAGTAATAATATGGAATGATTGTGTTTGATTTGTGCTAACCTTGTGGTGGTGGTACTAGTAAAGCTGGATGCAACATCGTTGGTGGATGAGGTAGTGGCGGCGAATCACGTGGATCCATCATACCAGCAAAACCGGGTGGGCTGGCTGGCATTTTGAGATGATGGACTTGAGCCTGTTGCGGTGCATGTGGCCCGTTATGATGATTGAAGAATGGACTGTACGGCGAGAACACTTGTGATTCGTGTAATGATGGATTTGGTATTGCAACAGAGGTTGATAACGCCTGCCGAATGCACAAGAAAAACAGAGAGAGAGAGAGAGAGAGAGAGAGAGAAAAAAAACCCAAATCAAATGGCCATTAAAATCAGACATACAATGTGATGTGACACTGGCACACGGAAATGTGTTGATTCGCTAATTGATATACGTACTTGTAGCATTGATGATGGAGGTGGTCCATGATATGATGATCGCGGTGATGGGCTTTCTGATGGCGTCGTCGTCGATGTATTCATCACTGCACATGTGAATTGCGAATGATTGTCGAAAAATGTTTTAGTAAATTGCAATTCGCCGGCGAACGCCAGAGAAAAGGGAAGAGCAAAAATGAAGTAAGTGAGTAAAACGTACATATGAATTTACCTGATGCAATCGATCCCTTGCCGTTCGTGCTGTTGTTGTTATTGTTGTTGTTCATGTTTGCGTTTGTGTTCGATTCGATTTGTTGTTGATTTGCCGCGGGTCCAATGCCATCCTGTGCAAGGATTCGGCTAACGGTGCGTGGTGTGATTCGTGTGTCAGTGACCTTGTGTCGCTTCTTTTTCGGTTGTACTACCAAACTAAGGGCTTCGTTTTGCTCTGGATTTGTATCACGTGATTCCGGCATACAGAATTGATTCACTTGACCGCCAAGCACATTCATTGAATTGTAGAGTGCGGCGGCCGCTACCGGATTTATCACTTGCGGTGGCTTTGGCGTTTGAAACATAGCCGCTGTTGGGGTTTGATGGACATGAACAGGAGGTAAATTTATTGCATTTAGATTGTTTGTATTGTTAGTGCTACTGTCACTCAATGTTGGTCCTGGCCCATTCATATTCATCGTAGGCATGGTCATCGTGTGCGTTGTGAACGCGTTGCCATTTAAACGTGGACCGTTTAATTGTGTGTGCATTAAACTACTTGGATTTGAATTAGTCAAAATGTGCGCGTTACCTGTTTGTACGTTGGACGATCGATCAGCGACTTTCGTGCGAGGCGATTTACGATCAAGTAGTTGTGTTGCCATCATAAGATCCTTGTTTAGTTGTTCGGCCGCGGCAGCGGCTGCTTCCGATTGTTTATTTAGAAACCGTCTTTGGTGCACGAACCTTGTAACAATCGAATCAACTAAATTCGATAGTGATGCCGTGATCTCGCTTTTCAGCACATCGGCCAAACCTTCCAAATCGGTGCCGGACACCGGTCCCACCGAACTGGAGTTCGATCGTCCGATATTCAGACGCTCGCTCAAATCCGATGTGCTCATTTTCGTGATGAGAGACAATGAATTTTGCTGTTGTTGCGCCTGCATTGCGACCTGTGACGGTTGCCCATGTGCATTTGACGATTGCTCTTGTGTTCGTTGCGATTGTGAACACTCCTTTTGCTGGGGCGAATGTGTTTGGCTTTGATTTGAATTTTGCATGGGACGCTCACGTTCCTGTTGCTGCATCTGTGCCTGTTTCAGTTGTGACGACGAATGGCCGGCTGTTTGATTTGAATTCTGTTGCTGTTGACGTTCACGTTCCAGTTGTTGCGCCACACTGTCACGTTGCTGTGACTGTTGCTTTTGCTGTTCGGCGGATTCTTTGCTGTTGCGCACCTCTTGTTCGAGGAAAAATTTCGGATTCATCGCACCAAAGTACATGGCCGCCTGGTTCAATGCATTCTGCTGTTGCTGTTGATTGTGCTGCATTTGCTGGAGTGCGTGCTCATGCGAATTGTGGGTCATGTTAATGTGCTGCAGCAGCGGATGTGTCCCATTAAAGTTTGGTGCCAATTGAGCGGGATTGTGCAGTTTTGATGAAATCATTTTGCCCATCACTTGCGACAGCATCATATTCGATGCGTTCGACACTTTGGAATTTAACGATAAATCTTTCATCGGTGATATGGTCGGCGACGAAGACACCGAATGACGCTGGATTGGTTGTTTCTCCGGTGTTTCCTTCTTATTTTCAATTGGCTCAAATGTATCGCTATTGCCGTCATCAATCTCTTGCGATAACTCGGGCACCTCTGAATGTTCATTCACAATCGTACACAATTGCACATACTTTTGTTGCATTTCGGCCAATTTCTCTTGCAATGACCGCAATTCCGATTCCAGTGCACTCTTTTCGACGCGTTTCTGTTGCACGGGCGGCTGTTCGTCATCCTCATCATCGTCACCATCACCGAACATCAATCCCTGTAGCCCTAAATTGAAATTCAAACCCGAATAACGTTCGGCATCGTGCTGCTGTGGCTGGTACAATTTTCGCTTTTTACATCCATTCACCTGGGGATGTTGTTGCGATGGAAGTATCGGACTGGATCGCATTGTATTCACAATATTTTCGACACGAGCACGTTTCATATCCATTGCAACCGGTTCATTTTTTAGGCTCTGCGGAATTGGCGACACATTATTTTTATCCAAATGCATTTCAATGTCCATATCATCTTTGGAACCGATCATATCGGAACCGGGCGATGATGGCATCGAATTCTCCGAATCGGAACGCGAATTCAAACAGATCATTTCTTCATCAATCATATTGTCGTTGAGTGCTTTATTTAAATCGCCAGAAATAGCGTTGTCTTGTCGATTATCCGACATATCTTCACCATTGTCCATATGCCGTGACACATCATCATTCATTTGATTCGACATTGAGTTCACTCTATTGTTAACATTTATTTCACTAGTATCGTTCGCATCACTTCCACCATTTCCTAATGTTTCACCTAGAAAAAAATGCACAAAGAACAAAACCAATTTGTTTTAAAAAATTTCCGCTCGGTTTTTCTTCTCATCCACAAATCGTTCACAATCGATCGTGCACAGCAAAATGTGTATGGAAATTTGAATATATTTTTTGTTTGTTTGTGCGATGTAAAGAAAACGAAACACTTCAATTGATCGTACGGGCATTTGTAGCCTCCATAAATTTCAACTGTTTTAAAAAGAGCGAAAAAAAATTATGGATCGTACTAATAACCGTCGATTAATTTCGCACATCTTCGTCACAAAAACACACAAAAAACCACAAAAAACCAGAAAATACACACTTTGTTGTGCAAACGACACTGTGATCAATTCGATTTTAATTTGATACAAATTCAACTAATTTTTTCAACAGCCAATCAATTTTAGCGCAATTTTCAAATTTTTATTCTTTTTTTTTTCAAAATTATCATTTTTTTCATCTTTTCAAATTGAACTCGATTTTTTTTTTGCAAAAAAATTTTGGGTTTGTTATTTCTTTTTTGTTGTTTGTTTTTACTCACTTTTGATATTCACTTCTTGTTTCACAATATTGTTGTTACTGTTCGTGTTGTTATTTTTGCTTATGCTATTATTGTTGTCCGGCGATGCCCGTTCGATCGAATTATTCATGCTGGCCGCCGATGCAGCAGCGGCCGCTCTTAATTCATGATCGTGTAATGCCATTAGTTCCTTTTTTCCTTGCAAAATATTTCGTAACATATGCAATTTTTCCAAGTCATTTGCTTGTACGGTTGTATCATCCAAATCGACACCACCGCTACTTTGTCGCCGAATAATTGGTGATGTTGTTTCAAAACCGTGTTTGCTACCATCCGAATTTGATGCGCCTTCCATCGGTGAGAGCATCATATTTGTTTCAGGACCACCAGCATCTTGGGCTTGTTTGACTTGTCTTGCTAATAATTCGTTTAACATTTTTGACGTTGACGTTCCGTAACCGCTTGAATTAAATAAACCGAAATTGTGTTGTTGTTGATTTTGGCTATAAATAGCCCCGTACAGACCGCCGCTCATGAGTGAAGGTCTTGAACTAAAATTCGGAATCGATGAATAACTATTTCTTGGTTCACCCGCGTCTACACGCTGTCTGGCTCGTTTTGCTTTCTTTAGTAACTTATCTCCGTACAAACCGAAACTGTCTGCGTCCTCCTCTGATGACATCATAAGAATCACCAGACTTTGTTTGTGTTAAGCCCATTAAAGTGGGAGAATTTTTTTTCGTGTTTCGTGCTTTTTTTCCCTATACTGATTTTCCCAGAAAGTACAAGACGATATACGAAAAAAAAAGTAGTGTGTATTTTTAAATCGTTGTCGTTACATGCGAATGTGCCTTCTCTTCTCGACTGCTAACGAATCATTCCCCACTCTTAAGCAATATTTCTATGATTCCCCTTCCATAGCATCGACCTATAAAATGTAGCACCAACAGCACCAACAGCAGCAGCGGGCAGGAGGAAGAAAGAAATAGAGAGAGAGAGAAGGGACAAAAAAACGAACAGTATGAGAAACAAGAAAATCGAATAGAAACAATGCTTAATACAACTACATCTACGCACACACACGCGCGCGGCGCGGAAACGCTTCGCGTATTCGTAATACACAGAGAAAAAAACCGGGGCATATGTACGCCGTGTGCATACCCACAGTTGCACACACATATATTCATCCATACATATATACACATTCTCTTTACATTCATTTTCGTTCGTCGTTTCGTAACTTTCGGTAGAAGTTTTTCGTGTTGGGTTTCGCTTGCTGCACTCGTGTGCTTCGTTCACTTTTCTTTCGTTGCGATCGGCAAGCTGGAGAAGTGGCAGCAAAGGAGTTCGGAACATACGAATAAAAACTAAACATCGTGCACATTCGTTCCTTCTCTGCTCTCCTTCTCACCATTCTTTCTCTCACTCTCATCCTCATCATCACACACAAACACACATACGATCGGTATGTTCGCGGTACTAACGATGCATTTGCAATTGTATGTGTACTAGAAACATTTTTTTCCCGTTTCAGAATTGCTTTTCGTGTGTTCCTCTTAGAATAACAGCAATAGATCAACGTATTTTTCATTTCGAATTTCTACAATTTCAATTCGTAAAATGCAATCTGGTTGGTGATTTCGAAATGTTATCCAAATCGAAATGAAATTGATTTCTTCAGCGTTTATCTTTAATTTTTTTTTTCTTCTAGTTCTTCTCCTTATGCCTCTTCTTTATTTGCAACTCGTCATATGGCATTCGAATTAAATACATCTTGAAAGTGTAAACAATATTCCGATGCCGCGCACAACGACCGTTATTTCAAACAAAACAAAAAAAGAAATATAAAAAACAACTCGAATCGTACGCAAGCAATTCGTGCCATACCATTAAGCAATTTAAATGATTACCTCAAGAAAGAAAGAACCTTAAGAAATCGTTCATAAGACGTTTGCCGTCTTTGTCATATGCAACATAAACAATAGGTAACAAAAGTCATCGACACACACTCACAATAAAGGAAACCTTAAGGTTTTCGATCGTTCCATCTGTTTGCGCGCGTACAGCTGTTCAAAGACATCGCCGTAGTAAACAAGAAGTGAAAAGGACGCATACACATGAATTGAAAGGAATCGAAGAAGAAATAGACTTAGGTCTTGGGTGCATAGCGCACACGGCTATATGTTTAAAATGAAATATTCTCATATTTATTTCATCGTTTTTTTTTCTCTTCTATATTTCATTTTGAAATAAAAATTATACGTATGCGAATGTGTATGGTATTTAAAATCGTGAAAGGGACATGCTGCGTGTGCGATTGAATGAAATGATCTCGGAACAGCGGTGGATATATAGGAAATGTGTATAAAGCGAGAAAAAAAATGGAAAAATAATAGCATATTTGCTGAATATGAGCTCTTGCTGTCGCTTACTCGTGCGCGCGCGCGCTCACACGAAGAAAAAGCATGTGGGCTATGGTTCTTTGAGTTGCTTTTTTTTTCGTTTCGATTCTCTGGTCTTCTTATCGAATTTACTTTATCTTTAACTCGCAACACTTTAATATGTTGTAAACTTGCGGTAGGTGCGTGAATGAAAGACGAACGAGTAATAGAATTGGAAGAAAGAAAGAAAACGACGCATAATAGTTTCAACGGAAATTTCTCTCTCTCTCTCTCTCTCTCTCTCTGTCTGTCTCTCTCTCGCTCGCTGATTCTCAAGTGAGTGTGTATCACGCATTTGTGTCGATCATTCAACCGGTAGTGCACGTTATGGGCCGCTGATTACTCCTTCTTCACAAACAAAAGAAAATATACGTTACAACCTAAGGAAGCGTGGAATATACACGTATGCATGTACCATATAGTTTTTTGTTGTTGTCATTAGTTCCTAATCAATGGAACAGTATTTCACATGTCGTTGAAAGAATTTAAAGGGACACACAATTGATTCGACGACTATTATCGTGTGTTCACATCTCTTAGCATAACCACTAGCTAATTATGTACATTGGGCGCTGTTGTATGCGTATGTGTATAAATTTCGATAGTTCCGCATTTAACCAGGTGGAAAGAGGTTTTTCTTTAAGAAATTCACTGAATTGAATCCGAATGCACTTTGGCGGAATATATGTGTAACGATTTTCTTGCGTGGTCAAATTTAGACACACAAAATCGATAGACATGCAAATGCAATGGTTGTGTTGATTGTGGCACCCACCGCATTTTATACACATTGTGTCGCCATGCACATGTCTCGCACAGCAGCGAACACATCTTCCATATATCTAAACACGAAAAGCAACCGAGAATAATGTTGGCTAGTTTTTGTCTTCACCGAGAGACAAACATATAGTTATTTTGATGCGGCCTAATGAATAAATCCTTTTGAAGAGTGTCCGTTCCGATGAACTACAAGAAATTCAATTTTCGAAAGATCTTCCGCTTGACCGAAACTTTCACTTCTCAACACCAACCGATTCACTCTTCATCGTTCACCATTGAGACTCACTGACTCTGTGTGTATGTCTTTCTCTCTCTCTCTCTCCCTGTGTGTGTGTATGTCGCTCGTCCCTCTGTGCGTGCAGTGATTTTTATGGAGTTGGTTTTGTGAATTTATAAATAAGCTGCCATTTATTTATAAACAACGCTTTAAGCAGTGGCTCAAGAGGTAAAATGCGATAAAACGTTCCATTTTATCACTTCAGGTTCATTACTTTTTCACACTTAAAAGAGTTACCGCTAGACCGTCTAATCTTTGCTTGGCCTTCTTACATATTAGAACACACACTGCATCATATTTATATATCACTTCATTCTCGTTTGATGTTCTGACCATAAAACGAACGTAGACAGAAAAACAAGAGTAGCAACAACACATTGGGGGCGTTTTTGCACACACATGTCAATTTCAAGGAATATCCAAATGAAACTTAATCAGATCAACATCGTTTAAGCCATGGACAAATCTGAATTTAATTATTCTGACGACACCAATAATCGATTGACCTCAATTTATCCAAGTGTGTGTGTGTGTGTGTGTCGCACGTGTGAGTGAGTGAATTTCTGAGTGAGAAGAAAAGATGCAGCAGCACTTTGCTAATGAAAACACAAGGGATTGATTTCACATTGTAAACGTCACTTTCACCTCTTTATTGACATTCTACTGGCCAAACACATCGGCACACATTTTGAAACACAATCGACGGATGTAGTGCAAAAGTGATGGAACGCATGAGAGAGAGAGAGAGAGAGAGAGAGAGAGAGAGAGAGAAATCGGGAGGAAAAGAAAGTGTTTCGTTTAATTAACCTGAATAAGAAAACGGCAAAGATTCGATAAAAGCAATTTTAAGTTCAAATCGACAACACGGCCTTAATTGATTAGTGGCATTTTGAAATCCCTTTCGGTTTCACCGAATTATGAACAATGAATATGTAATCGTTTTGATGCGACCGACTGGACAATGACATCCTTTTGTGTATGTGTATGCGAGAGACGGAGTGAGCGAGCGAGCGACTGTGTAAACACTAATAGTTTAATGGCGATTCTTAGAAATATTATGAATTAATCTTGTGTGTTGTATTTTGGAAAATTACTTGAAACATTGGTCATCCACATGTCAACCAGAATACACATATTGATCGAGTGTGTTTGTGTGTTTTCAAGTCGATTAAGACCAAGAACTCAAACCGCGCGTGTGTGTGTGTGTGTGTGTGTGTGTGTGTGTATCCGATATGCGATGTTTTGTTGGACAATCCAAAATATAGGTCTTCAGTTGAGGACATAAGAATGGGACGCATACACACACCGGTCGCTTCATACGTCACACACTCTGTCTTTGTTCATTAAATATGCATAAATTATCCAATAGAGAATTCGATTATGGCTTTAGACAATATATACTTTGAGATTGGTGTGTATGGTGCGTGCGAGCGAGCCAGTGTCCACTCGCACACCAGTCATTAGTCTCACACAACGCTTGGTGCCACTGCTACATTTCAAATTAAATTGACAAATCAGAAAGATAAAATTCTCAACATAATGCACCCATTATGTCCATCATCTCAACTGTCAAAATCACCTTAAATAACATAATTACGGGTGAAATTAAATAGTGCTTCAGGCCAAAATGGTAACAACAATTGAATGGTATACGGCAACAACAATGACGACGACTCGACGACGATGAAGGAGTCATTGGCTGCTTAAGAATGGATCGAAGCAGTTTGTTTGCTGAATGAAAATCAAGAATTTAATCAATTGATTCGAAAGCGAGTGAGCGAACGCTGTCGGCCTCATTTGACCATAATCATTTATAATATGTGATTGATAGCCAAACGGATTAAATTGCTTGTTAATTCATAATTGGTATTTGATAATTTGATTATAAACTCAAGACATAGTTCTAATTTATTGCATGATCAAGATAGATAGTTCAATCCTTATTGCATTGCAATTTAGAGTATTTTGGGATTTAATTTAGAAGCCTTTAAATATGTTGATGTAACGAAATTCCCTCAGTTCCAGTGAATATCCCCCCACACACATTCAACAAAGTAGCAACAGCAACGACAACGCGAGCATATAGTTCGTTCGTTAATAACAAAACTCAACGGAAAACGGTTCAAAAAGGTATGCAATTGGAAGTGTTTCGGGTGCGCGCGATTGTTCGGATATGTGTTGCAATACGCGATAGAAGTAGAAAAAAAGCCGTTGTTGTGTGTACGAAACGAAACAAAAAATTACACAAAATAAAGCGTCGGTAAAAAAGGTAATCTAGAATATGGCACCAAACCGTTGTTTAGTTAGAGTGTGTTGACTCGGTTCGTTCGAAAACGAAAATTCCACTCTCATTTTGGTTCCATTGCATGGCTATGCACATATGCTACCTTCTCTCTGTTCGTCGGAATGCTTGCTAGTTGTTTTCGGTCG